TACTTGAAATATTTCTTGCCATCCCCTTCTGGCTTGTAGTGTTTCTGTTGAGAAATCAGCTGCTAGCCTTATCAGAGCTCTCTGGTATGTTACTTTTTGTTTCTCCTTTGCTGCCTTTAAGGTTCTCTCTTTGTCTTTTTAAAATTTGGTGTTTTAATTATGATGTGCCTTGGAGTAGGCTTTTATGGGTTCATCTTGATTGGAGTGCCCTGTTTTTCTTGAATTTACATGGCTTTTCCCCTCTCCAGGTTAGGAGTTTTCTGTCATTATTTTTTCAAACAGGTTTTCTATCCCTTACACCTTTTCTGCTCTGCCTGGTATTCCTATGATCTGAATGTTGTTGCACTTCATGTTGTCCTGCAGTTCCCTTAAACTATGTTCCTATTTTTTGAGTCTCTTTTTGTGCTGCTCTTCTACTTGGATATTTCTTTCTACCCCATCTTCCAGCTCTCTAATTCAGTTCTCTGCTTCATCCAGCCTGCTTATAATTTCTTTAAGTGTAATTTTTACTTCAGATATTGTATTCTTCATTTCAGCCTGGTTCTTGTTTATAGTTTATATTTTCTTTTTCATGCAGTTGTAGCTGTCACTTAGTTCCTTGAGCACCCTTATAACCATTCTTTGAATTCTATGTCTTATAGTTTGCTTGCCTCCATTTCATTTATCTCATCTATTCAGGGTTCTTCCATTCCTTTTGATTTTGGGTTCTTTCTTTTTCTCCCCATTTTAGGTGACTCTTTTTTTGTTGTTGTTTGCTTCTGCAATTCCAGATGTTCTGCTTTGCCAGCTGTCTTCATGGAGTGAACTTTTGTGGTAGGGGTTCTGTGAGACTCAGTGGTGTGGTCTCTTTGATCTCTTTGTGTGGACCCTCTAGCATTGCCCTTTCTTTCTTTTGTGTGGACTCTCTTGTTGTACTAGGGCTTTAGCTGTTGGTGGCTTCTTAATTGGTGGATTCCTCCCTCCAGTGAGCTTATTGGAATTTGTAACTCCAATCTTCTCTTGTATGCTGTTGTATAGGTACTGTTTAACAACACAGTGCTACTAGACAATCAAACCTATGCCAGTGAAACGTACCTCCTTACCACATCAGCAATCTCACTCACAGTTGTTCTAAGATTAATAAAGATGAAGAGAGATTGCAGATATTATAGGAAATGTCAAATAGAATATGAGATGACTAAAAAAGGGAGAAATGTTTTTGTGTGGTAAGAAGGAGGAGAATTGATAAGGATTGGGATAGAACTGAGGTGATGCAATGGAGAGAACACAATTTAAAACAGGTAAAACACAAAAGGGAGATGGGAACATTGAAGTATGAACAGGGAAGAATATACTATGAGTTCTAAAGTAAAATTGAAAAGTATTGGACCAATGGGGGCAAAATTTCAGGAAAAACACAGCAGAGTCAGTAATAATGACAGCTGAATGAAGTTTAATGAAGGTAGAATGGGAATAAGAATATTGTACAAAACAAAGTGAATATGAGATGTCTACAGTAAAGAAAAATGATTTTGAAAGGATGCGGTAAGCTACCTAATAAGAGTAATGAATAAAGCCCAAGTTGAGAGAGAGGAAAAAAAGGGGGAAGGAGAAAACAATGAAATAAAACTTCCCACTCAACTTATCAGGGACAGGGGGAAGGCAAAATAGAGTAAGACAGTGGTAGAGTATTCTATGGGATTCAAAGTACAAATAGTGAACAAATAGGAATTCTATTGGAGAAGTACAGCAATAATTGTGGCATTTCATCCAATCTTCCACTGTTTATAAAAGGTGGAAAAGAAATAAGGCTCTTATAAGAGATGAAATACAGTGTGAGCTGTAGAAAGAAGAGCTCTTATGTGACATGAAATGGAGGAAAAATAGTAAGAGTAAGAGAAAGTAACTTGGTGTAGTGTGAGAGAAATAAAGTTCCACATGACAGTCATAAAGCTCAAGAAGTTGGCAGAATGGATTAAGCCCAGGGAAAGGTGTTGTATGGGATTTGGAATAGCAATAATATGATAAAAAATATATAATCTGAATAAATAGAATAAAAAGTAAAAGACCAAGAGTAGCGAGTTGTTTGAAATACAAGTGAAGTGAAAGATAAAAAATTAAAATGTAATATGAAAGGGAGAATAACCAAAAACCTAAAGTGAACAGTGAAAACAAAGAAAAACTAAACAGAAAGAAGAAAGAGAAACTTTTAAAAATGCAAGTTCTGCTGAAGAAAAAAGTGAAATTTGTCTCAGCTGTTGGTGTTCGGTTCACGTTCTGACTTCTTTCTGAATCTGTCTCTGGTTTTCTTTCAGCTCCAGATCTTAATGTCTTACTCTTGAGAAAAATAAAGAAAAAGAAAAAAGCCTGCCCAGCCAATTTTTGTAGATCTTCCTCATTCCTGCAGACAGAGGAGGGCTGGGCTCCGTTATTTCTTTTCCTGTGGTTTCACAAGAATGGGGGCTCAGTTTGGGCTACACCAATCACAGGTATTCAGTTGTCACTTACTGTCCTCAGCGCTCCATGCAGCCCACACTTTCCACTTTGCACATTTGCACCCCACTGGCACTGATAAACCACTTCACTCTGCACCCCTTTGATCAGTCTCTGAGGTGAACTTGGTGGGAACAAATCGAGCTCACAATATTCCCTCCTTGTTGGCCTGGCAGCTGAGCACACAAAGTCCCTGCCTAGTGCACATCAGTTCCCCTTTTGAAAAAAGTCCCTTTGAGTGCTGCTGCCTTCCAAGCCACTGCTCAGCTTTCCACACAGTCCAACCATCTAGCATGTCCAGAGTCTATCTGGGTCACAGCCAGTTGAGGCCCACCTCATCTCTCAGCTCCAGATGTCACCAGGATCTCTCAAATTTACTGGCAAGGCCCCGGCCAGTGACCACTGCCTCAACCTGGGTACTCTGCCTGCTGTGTCTCCCTTGCTGCCTTTTTAATTTTTCCCCAAGGATTTTATGCATCAACGTCTCTCCTGGTGCAGGTCTGGGAATTCCATGCCTTGAGAGGGGAGGGAGCCCCTGGCCTGCTATCACTGACCCTGCTCTCCTCCAATGTACCTATGGCAGCCACAGCCTCCTTTGCCAGGCCAGGGGACCTTTTCCATTAGGCTATAAAACCTCCGTTCTGCCCATTTTGAAGCATCCTCTGCACAACTGGGCTTCCAAATCTCATATTGGCTGAGATCCTGCTGGCTGTTCACTTTGTTTTTTCAGAAAATTGGCTAAGTATCCCAGTTGGGTGCATGAGCAAGTGGGCTCATCTCCCACCTACATACTGCCATATTCAACTCAGCCTGCTGTGTAGATTTTAATCTAAAGGTTTTCTTGGGTTGTTTTTATCTTTACTTTGCTACTTACCTGATCCAGTTTGCAGCACAATCTTTTACTTTTTACCACAGGGAAACTTGTAGAAAAGAAAGCAGAAATTGCATGTACATTGCTCCCTTTACACATTTATATTTATTCAATTATTTCTGAAATGCTAAGGACTTCACATGAGGGTTTCTGTATAAGCCAAGGTCACACACCGCTGAGTTGACATGGCCTTAAAACCACAGAAAGATGGCCAGGCCTTATACCTAGGGATATAGAACCATAAGCATTGATCCTGGGAGCTAAGTAGGGAATGACTACATAGCAAAGGACCACTGTATCTTCAAAATGAAGATACTAAAAACCTGGAAACATTGCAAATGTATATTACAGGCTCTTGCATGAGTAAACAAATTGTGTTAAATGTATATGTGGTGGTTCTACTCAGCAATAAAAGAGGAGCAAATTACTGATATATGTAATAACCTTGATGGAAACATTATGCTTATATTATGAGTGGAAGAAGCCATATACAATAGAATACATACTCTATGATTCCAATTATATAAAATTCTAGAGTAGGAACAACTAATGTATTTTGATAGAAATCAGATCACTGTTTCCCACAAGAGGAGGTAGAGAAAAATTGAGTGAAAAAGACATGAAGGGACATTCTGGAGTCATGGAAATGTTCTGCACTTTGAGGGTGTTATTCTGCCACATAAATTTGTCCCAAATAATTAGATTATATCTTTAAAAGACATATATTTTATGTTATATAAATTATATTGTTGAATTTCAAAAACTAAAATCAATGGTCATAATGATATAATAGATTGGAAAGGATCTGTTGCTCTTATTTTTATGAACATACTCAAGACTCCAAAAGAAAGTTGAAACCCATAATAGAACTTTAGTGACTAAAATGGAATTCCCTACATTTGGATGGGTACTTGTAGACAGAATGGAAATAAATTTAAGAAATGATAAGTTTATCAACTCAGATATGTACCTAGAAAATAGTTACATACATACAATAGCTATTTGAAAAACAATAAATTAATGGAGCAGTATAATTACTATTAGTATTTTAAAGAAATCATACTGATAAAAATCCTCATGTCAGAATTGCCTGTGATAATCTCTACAACAACATCAATTTTAATAAAAGTATGTAGTATGAAAAGCTCTTACATAGAAGGTAGAAGACCACTGTGTATACTCTGTTTATGCTATTTTAAACACTTTGAAAGACACTTACACTCTCAGTTTATGTATCTCTTATTCTTCTTTATTATTTTAAGAATATTGGGGCATTGAGATTAATGCATCTTACTAAGAGCACTAACCTATGCATGTTATTTTATTTTTTCTTTGTTTAAATCCTTCTCTTTCATGCAGGTTATCAGCATGGACTTTGAGATCCAAAATATTGGGATCAACTTCCATTCATTATATAAAGGCTTTGGACAACTTATTTAATATTTCTGTGCTTCTGTTATCTCATCTGTAGGTGTTTATGTGTGTATGAGTGGGGTGTGGATTCATAATTGTTCTTACTTTTTGTAATAGAATTGTATGGATTAAGACCATGCCACAGTGCCTTCTGTGTATAGTAGTCATGAGTCATATATCAGAAGCCAGGAATGTAAAAATATACTTCTTTGCAAATTGCTTCAAAATTTTTCATATGCTTTATTTCATTGTCTCATGAAAACTGTGTTTGTTAAATAGGTTAAATAAACACTGATTCCATTTTATGAATAAGAAAACCAGGTGTAAAAATATGGTTAGTTCAGAAACTTGGCAAACACAAGTTGTAGAACTTGGATGAGAAATGTGCTCTCCTCCTTATTCAGTAGAGTCCTCTGCCACATAACAACACTTCAACGAACAACGGACAGTATACATGAGGGTGGTCCATGAAGAAATAGAGCTGAATTTCCTGTAAGAAATGGAAGAATTTGTGGTAGCAGAAGAATTTGTTTTAAGAAATTATAGTTTATGTACAATATTACATTAGTTTTAGGTGTACATCTCCAGGATTAGATGTTTATATAACTTGGATTGTGATTACCCTGAGAAATCTAGTATCCACCAAACACAATAAATAGTTATTAGAATATTATCAACTATACTTCCTATGCTTTATATCCCATTGACTACTCTGTAACAACCAATTGAACTTCTAAATCCTTTCAACTTTTTCACCCATCCTCCCAGCCCTTCTACCATTTGGCAACAAATATTACTCGGCACCTGAGTCTATTTCTGTACTTCTTGTTCATGTTATAAATTTATTTCAAATGCTTTAAGTTTATAATAAAATTAATGGAGGTAAAAGGTAATTACTGTTAATCTAATGTATTTTAAAAAATATATATCCATTTATTTATTTATTTACATAATTTTCATAGTCATGCCAATAGACATTAGAGGTAGAAGGAATAATGAAAAGAAGGAAAGAAAGAAGGAAGAATGAGAGAAAAGAGGAAGAGCCTTTTTTTCTCTTCTTCAGGACCTCTCAACTGCACTGCATAGGGGGAGGATAATGAAGAATATTAAATGTATTAAGTAGAATGGACTATGAGCAGAATGCTAAATGCTAACATCAAGATGCATACTAGATGAATTCATGACACCAAACATTGATTATGTAAATATGTGAGGAAGAGCTTTCATAGTGGTTTAAGTAAGTAAAGTTTTAGGGTTTATTTTACTACAAGTTTAACATCATCCAACAGTATGATGTACTTGCTAATAAAGTAACATAACCTCTGTTTCAAAATAAATACATGTTCTCAATATTTGGATGATCTGTCAGAAGCTAAACTATTTACTCAAGAAAGTTATATTCAATTTGGAAGAGAAATTTGAAGAAATGATTATATATATATAGATATATAAATATATAGATATATAGATATATATATAAATCCCAGACAACATGAAAAATGTTTACTGTGGGTAACGTAAAATAGAATTAGAATAAGTGTATTGGACAAAACTATAAAAGTCATTATTAGGAGGAAGAAATGTTCTCTTTCATGATACATGAGTCCAGAGAACAAGGAAAAATATGAAAGAGAAATACTGGGTTTTTATCAGAGTTAATTTTTTTTTAGTTAAGGAATAAGGTCTTTGTTTATGTAGTGAATGCCCCATCCACTGAAATACCTAAGAAAACATGCAGGGGACAGCCACCCTTAATAGATTTATTACAGAACTTTCTCAACTTGATGACATGTTCACTTCCATGGTCTCTAAATTTCCTCCAGATCTAAGGTCTTTTTACTGTAAGAGAAAAAGGTCACTTTCTGATTAAATAACTTGAGGACTGAGGGTGAAAAACTTTCCCAGGACAAATAAACAATGATTATTTCATAAGAAAGAAGCTGGATTGCTTAATAGGCAAACAAATATAAAGTTTGCCGTTTAAGGAATCAAGCACATATTGATCTTGTCAAGACTCAGTAAATCTGAGAGCATTTTTTTCAGAATAGATGCATGAAACATTTTAAAGATCTTCCTTGTCACCTTGGACCTGGGATTTCCTTGGGCCGCCTTCAACACTGTGAGAAATGAAACGGTTTGCATTTAAATTTTCGTGGCGGAGACTGGCTACTGTTCGACGGGACACTGCCTTCTTCTTCCTGGGCACACAGCTAGCCTGTGCTGCCCAGAACCGTAGCAGTTCGGTGTGGCCACGTGACTGAGCTCAAAGCAAGGATTGCAAGCAGGATTATGGTGTGACATAGCCATACCAAGCCCAGCACAATCCCTCACAAATGATTCTCCGTATTTCTTCCAATGCCATTAAGTGATGGTTAAGACCACAGCTGTTTTGGCATTTTATAGGACAGATATCAGAGTCATAGGATGGATGATGTCTAAGTATCTGACTTAGCACTCGGTGGAGAGATGCCTGCTGATGAAGTTCGCCCACTCACGAACGAGACATAGGCGTCTATTGTATCCGTGCCATTAAAAACGTTTGAATTACTGCAGCAGCATTCTGTACCATCTTAACTGATATGGGCGTGTGTAGTGTTATAGTCATCCTTAAATTCTTGCCTAACTTTAATGTGGTGGTAGAGTTTCTTAAATACCTTGTCATCCATAACTTGTGTATAAAGACAGGAAGCTTGTTTGTCTTGTTTGTTACACTCTAAACAGTCTATAGGTCAAGGTCTGTGACACAGTTGCCATATGCTAAATATTTTTCTAATGGTGTAGCAAATAATAACAGTTTGATGAAATCATTGGTAAAATCATGCTCTGACAAATATTTATTGCACGCACACTATGAGTCGACTACTGTTAGATCGGATCATACTTATGAATAAGTCGAGAATGTCCAATGTTTTCAAAAAGCTTAAAGCCCAGTGAGAGACAGTGGTGAATTTATTTTTAAAAACACAAGAGAAAATACAATGAGAGTTATGGCTGAAGAGTCATAGGGACCTGTGGGAATAGGGGCGTGAACTATAGCAGTAAAATTAGAAGAGGCTTGACAGATCTGAATTTGAGAGTGGAATCAAGAAAACTGGGCCACTGCTTGAAAGGTGTGAGGGAGAGGAAAGAGCTAAACAGCTCAGGTAATGTTTTCGGTTTAAATAACTTGGCGATGGTGGCACCAGGAACCAAAGAGTGAAAACCCAAGGAAGAGCAACATATGGGGAAGAATAAATGGCAAACTCAGCTCTGGATATGTATAAAAAATGGGGTCTGTGGGAGATGAGTGCATATGTTCAGTAGCCACTAGGATAGTGAAGTATGGCATTCAAGTGGATAGTCACAATTTGCGATACAGGATCATATTTTGTAAGTATAAACATGGTAGTAAAACTGCAAGAATGACTTCTGTGAGAGGAGAATAGAAAAGATAAAAAGGCATAGGATTAATCCAGGAGACACAAGCATTATCTCCTCACTCCAGGGTTATCCCATGCATCTGTAGTTAATGTCAAGGAAGAAGAAGTTCAAAAATATTTTCTGTTCAACATACCATATCTGGAAAAGAAAGAATGTCTTCTTGGTAGTCTTGTGTAGTGTGATACTGTTCTTATTGTGAAGTTAAGGAAAGATAAAAAGGCATTAGAATAATCACATCATCTCTGAAGAATCTTTCTGAATGTGCTGGAAATGCCCTATTGAAAATAATTTCCACAAGTTTTGGTCTTGTTCCAAATGTGTTTTACCTGGAACTACACTTTTTCCTAGGAAAGAAAAGCCTTACCACATGAATTACTGGACTTTAACATTTGAAGGAGAACAAAAGAATATCTACAGTGAATCCCTTGATTTCTGCATTCTATCATGAGGTGGAAGTGAGATTCCATCAGCAATAGAATCAAGAATTCTCTTAAAATGTATGTGTCCATGTGGCTCCTGAGGTGACCACTACTATGTAAAAAGCATGTGCAAAGAGAAGTTGTCTAATCCAGAGCTGCCTTGGACTTTAGAGAAAACTAAAAAGAGACATTTAAACTTAGACAGTTAACCTTGCCAAGATTTATCACAGCAGAAAATTATGATGAGGTGATTCACTGGTCTACCCTCAATCACTGGTAAGTCAATTTCCTAAGTGCCATAGAACAAGAAAGTGGTAGAGCTAAGATATAAACAAAAATCTGTCATGACTTTATTCCCAGGCTCTTTTTCATGACTATTCTTCTGGCCCAGAAAAAGCACTATAGATTTATGCGTTTGAAAGGAACCCTGACCACAATTGCTGTAATCTGCACTTCCCTAGTCAGTGTTATACTCAGAGAAACACTGAAAAGCCTCAGTTACTCTATTTGGAGCATTAAATCAATCAAACCTATAATGTGTCAACTGAGATCTTGATTCATTATGATTGTCAATTTCAAAAATTAAATTTAAATTTAAGATTTTGTAAGGATCTCAGTATAACAATACAGATTGGAGAAGCTATGCCACAAAGTTTAAGAATTGTCTGGAGCTAACAAATGTAAAATACTCTGAGTCTCTATTACATAGTTCTTAATTGAAGACAAGATTTCCATAGACAGAATGTGATCTGTAACTCTACTCTGAATGAGGGAGAACCATAGGCTTCCCACAAAATATCAATCCCAAGTTAACAGGCTGCAACTTGTCACATCCTTAGCATGCAGACTGCATGGACAAAATTAATCATCAATACATTCAAGAACATTTTCTGGAGGAGGCCTTGTTTTGGCAGTAGTGTACATGCCAAGAACTTTCTTTTAGAAAGATCTCTCCCACTAGAGTCACTCAAATATGATATGTAATTGCTGTATGGCTCAGCCCTGAAAAAAATTGGCAAGTACATGAGGGAGAGATGAATCCATAAAACCATGATTGTGGAGACAATGTTTGATAAGTGGCGAGGTTGGCTCCAGCCATTAGAGTTACACAGTGGGTTGCACAAGTGCCTCTAGAATTCAAAGACTAGGAATTGAAAGAAATAAGGCAATGAAGAAAATACAATTCTTTTGAATGCTTATAATTATTTATTGATAGTATTTAATTTTGAAAAGAGCATTAATACCCATAGATGACATGTCCTTGTCAGTAAGACATGCATAGCCTTCCCTGATCCCTAGGAAAAATGGCTTTGTGCTTTCAAAGAACAACTTCCTTCTGATTGGATCTGGGAAGCATAAAAGACACCAGTGGCTGGGAATCCACCTGAGCCCCTGTCTCTGCTATGTAAAGGGAATAAAGGACTGTGGAAGGGGCAGGTCAGTTGCCTAGGTACTGTATCAGGAATTTAGAAGAATGGGACATAGAAGGGGTAGCTCTTGCACAATGGCTTACAGCTTTGATACATGCTAGTGGACAATGTTACTCAAGGAAAATGCAGAGGACAACTAGAGGAAAGAGTCCACTTTTAAAAAATCTAATTTTTTGTAAGCATTGAATTGTTACCTGAGTGCCTCACCATCATGAAAATATATTTTATTCTCCTGGGGAGCAAAATTTAAGAGAGAATTTATAAAAATTATTTGAATACAAACCTTAAATCTTCATGGGAATAACTATATAAGTTTCTAAAGACCATTAGGCTTAACTGAATGACTGACTAACTAAACAAATAAATAATGCGCCATGCCAAAAGTATTATAGAGTGTGATATGAAGTTGTTTAGATTGTTTTCAAGAACTTCCACAACTGAGCTATCACATACTTAGGGGGGGAAATGAGTTTTAAGCCAAAGAAGAATACCGAGGCTAAAGGAAGAAGAATGAAGAGTAAAGACACAGAGGGCATACAATACTTCCAAATATTTAGAAATGAGGCCTTGAAGCCAGACATAAAGAAGTTGTCTGTAGACCAACATGACCCATGAAGAAATCAGACATAAGTACAAAGGCACAGGGTCTACGTGAACTTTAGTCTGAGTTGTTGACCTTACCTTAGAAGAACCCCAGCTTTTGTGCAAGTTGCGGGTCAACTTCAACAATTTGATTGATAAAGATTTTGCTTGCCCGTTCCCCCTTCTGAATGACTGAATCGATCAAATCTCTGGCCTTATCCATAGCTGTGTGATTTTCTTTTCTTACTTTCTCCATCTCCTCCTGGTTCAGCACTCTTTCGTCTAACAATCCATCCAACAAGCCATTTATTGTGCCAGTGCTCACTGATTGGATAAATATCTTCCTCTTCGACCTCAGGACCATGTCTGTTTGAAGCACACATATTCCTCAAGTCACTAAAACAACCTCAATTTCTTCTCATGTCAGTAGCAGAGAAGGGCACCTTTATATTTAACCCATTAATTGTCCCCTCCACACAGTTCAGGCATACTGAGAATACTCACATCACTAATACTCCCTCAGTATTATCCACGTGTGCTCACAGCACCACCTGGATTCTGAGATTTACTCTCTCTCAGTTAGTTAGTGCCTGAAAACCAGGCATTATCCTGACAGTGACTCATGTTTGTTCACCTCGGCATAATAAAATAATGAAACAGTGGTAGCCTATTTTCCATGGGGACAACAGCTGCTCTAGTACTTATCTTATAGGGATAATTCAATTATGATTGCAAAATGACATCAGAATAAGAGTAATGACCCAGTTTCTTTGCGGCCCATGCCTTTCTTTTCTAAAAACTATGAAAGTCTTCTGGGCCCCTTCTCTACTTCCTTTTGCCTCCCTTCTCTTTCTTCCTTCTTCCTCACTGCTGCTAGCTTAAATGGTCACAGAACTTAATTATCGCTTTTCAAAAAGCCAGTTACTTTTTAAAAATTTTCCCCAAGTCATGCCCTTTTACACAGTAAAAAACCAAACAAACAAACAAAAACTCACCCACGTTTTCCATGGCTTTTCTTTCTTGTCCTTAACGTGAAATGCGAAAGTGAAAGTAAATTCAAACTTCCTTTTTAGCAGGGTGTGTATACATATTAAGAAGTACCAACTGCTCATACAAATGTATGTCCATGTTTTTTTCCTCCAGAGTAATAATCAGATTGCTTAACCTTAGAGAGCATCAAGGAGTATATATGTGGGAAATTCCTTCACCAGCCTTCAAATCAGGTCAGGATAGGAAGGGAGTAGAGCCTAGAGAATAAGAAAGGAATGAGAAAGTATGTCTATAATTAAACTCACAATAATGAGTCTCTCATTTGTTAGGAAGTATAATCTGGAAAAAAGAACTCATCCATGGGTGTCTTAGTCTATACCTGGTGCTATAAAAAAAAATACTACAGACTGGGTGGCTTGTAAACAAAAGGAATTTATTCCTCACAAATCTGTAGTCTGGAACCACAAGATCAGGCTGCCAGAAGAATCAAATATCTTCTTATTTAAGACTCTATTTTCAGCTGGTTCTCTTTTGTGGAACAATGTAAAGACTAACAGCTCAGACTCTGGAATAAGAATATCTGACTTTGGCATGGAACTGTGAAAAAGCAGGGGGTGAAGCAGGGAAGAGCTGGTGGATTGCTGTGGAGTGAGCTGCACCTACTCCCTCCTTGCAGAAGCTGGAGGTAACAGGAATGCTGGCCACAAGATTCTGCCTCCTGCCCCTCATGGACTGGTTTTCTTCTCTTTGCAGGCCTGATTTAGGTTCAGTATTTGTCTAGACTCTCCAAATGAAGCTCAGCACCTCATTCTGGAGTATATTGGATGCAAGGCTCTCCCTGCTCAAGACCACTGAAATCCTCAGGACTGGCCCAGCCTATGTTGGATCCAGTGACATCATCTGCTCAGAAACTCTTGGAAAAGATGGCGGAGGAGTGAATGGGAGTCACGCTGACCTCCTCCCAAGGCCAAACTGGAATTGCTACTAAATAGTGGAGAAATCGCCTGGAAAACAATAGAACGATAGAGGGAGAGGAGCCTTGGAGCCGCAGACAGACAGTGGAATCAACTTTTACATATTCTAATGGGTGAGAAGTGCGGTGGAGGCTCGAGAGGGTGAGCTGAACACCCACGGGCGCCAGAACCAGAGGGACATTGAAACAGCCAGTTGGATCCCCCTGAGAAGAACAGGGTCCGAATCATAAACAGGGAACCCCAGACTACAGCAGCTGAAACCAGGAAAACGCACAGACAAAATGCAACCCCAAAATCTTAGGGGCGTTCTCTGCCAGAGACAGGTGGCTAAAGATGCAAAGAGACATTTAAAGGGCAAACGCAAAAATTTGCAGTGGCAGCCACCTCCCTTGATCTCTGGGTGGAGGCGGCAGGAAAATGGGCTGGTGCTTGAGGAAAGATTGGTGAAGAAAATTTTGTAAAGAGAACAGAGACTGTGGCCAGCAGAGCCCTGGCCATAACTCACCCCCCCACTCTGCAGTTACCACCTTGCCCAGGCATAAGAGAATCAATTAACCTGCCTTTTGTGCACCCCCCACACAGCTTGTACACGTGTGAGCTGGGGGCTGAGTGCAGAATGGCTGGAAGAAATAGAGGATCCCTGGCCAAAGGGGACACACAGCTGCATAGAGACCCTTGAGACCCTGGGGACGGAGGGGTTGAGGAAAGAACTGGAGGATTATCGGAGATCCCCAGAGCAGAGTCCCTCCCCATTCCTACTCCCCATTTGTGCAGGCAGGCCACAGCCCGGGAAGCAGAAGCAGGCGCTCTGTGGTGGTCCACAGAAATAGTGGATCCCTAGCTGAAGGGGTCACAGAGCTGTACAGAGACCCTTGGGGAGAGACTGGAGAAAGGATTAACCAGAGTCCCAGAGCTGACTTCTTCCGATTTCCATAGTCTCCATTTGACGAGGGCAGGCCATGCCCCCAAAGAGCCAAAAGTGGGGAAAGCACACAATAGAAGACCCTAACTGACCAGTACCGGATGCGAGCCGGGCAACATGCAAGCATATGAGGTCGGGTGAGTATGCCGGGCAAGGGCCCAGGAGCGCCCAGCCAGCGAGTGCGCTCAAGGAGCTGGCGTGAGAGTGCAGAGCTATCCGCAGAAAAAGTGGATCCCTGGCTGAAGGGATCACAAAGCTGCCCAAAGCAGGAGTCAGATGCAGACAGTAGATTCCTGGAGGGCTCAAACAAATGACCCAGGTCAGATAGGGTCAACAACTGACATCATAAGAGCAAGGCCCAGAAAGAAAAGTAAAGAAAAAATAAATAAATAAATGAAAGACCTGCCTACTACCATAGAAGTTTAATCTACAAAGTCAGGAAATCTAGACGGATTAATTGAAGCAGAAGCAAAATCAACCAATCAATCAATCAATCAATCTCACAAAAATAGGAAGAAAAAGACATTCCCCTCAAATGAAGGGAAAGGAGGAGTCCCCACTGAGAGAGCTAAATGAAATAGAGGCAAGAGAACAATCAGATATTGAATTCAAAACAATGGCTCTAAGGAAGCTCAATGAGCTCAGCCAGCTCAGAGATAACTATGAGAAACTGCAGAGAAACTATCAGGATCTTACAGCAAACTATATCAGCCTGGAAAAGGACATAGAAACTATCAAGAAGACACAAGAGGATATGAAGAATACTATTTCTGAATTGAGGAACACGTAGAAAGAATCAAAAGTAGGCTGGATGAAGCCGAGGATCGAATCAGTGAGATGGAAGACAAGGTAGAAAGAAGCTCCCAGAAAGAACAAGAAATGGAAAAATGGCTCAAAAGGAATGAAGAGGCATATAGGGAAATGCAGGACAACCTGAAATGCAATAATATCCGTATACTAGGGATCCCAGAAGGAGAAGAAGAGGAGCAAGGGATAGAGAACCTCTTTGAAAAAGTAATGATGGAAAATTTCCACAATGGGAGGAGAGAAAAAGTCTCATGGATCCAGGAAGCACAGAGGGCCCCACTCAAGAGGGACCCAAGGAGGCCCTCTCCAAGACACATCATCATTAAAATGGCAACTATCAAATACAAAGTGAGAATCCTAAAGGCAGCAAAGGAGAAAGAAATAACAATATGCAAGGGAGCCCCGATATGGCTAGAAGCTGACTTCTCAACAGAAACACTACAGCCAGAAGGGAATAGCAAGAAATAGTCCAAGTAATGGAAAGCAAGGGCGTACAACCAAGGCTGCTCTACCCAGCAAGGATCTCAATTAAAATAGAAGGAGAAATGAGGAGTTTCCCAGACAAAAGAAGGCTAAAAAAATACATCTCCACCAAACCAGCACTACAAGATATGCTAAAGGGACAGTTTTAAGATGAAGAAAAAGAGTGAGAAAAAGAAAAACACAGGTACAAGGAGAAAAAATGAATAGGTTTCTCTCAGTAATAATTCTCAATGTAAATGGACTAAATGCTCCAATCAAAAGACACAGGATAGCTGAATGGATAAGAAAACATGACCCACACATATGCTGCCTACAGGAGACCCACCTCAGAGCAAAAGACCTACACGGATTGAAAGTAAAGGGATGGAAAAAAATATGCCAAGCAAATGGGCAAGAGAAGAAAATAGGGGTAGTAATACTTATTTCAGACAAAGTAGATTTCAAAACAAAGGCCATAAAAAGAGACCCAGAGGGGCACTTTATAAGACTTAAAGGAAGACTCCATCAAGAAGACATAAACATAGTAAACTTATATGCTCCCAATATAGGAGCTCCCAAATATATAAGGAAAATCTTGGAGGACTTCAATAAAGATATAGACAGCGACCCATTGATAGGAGGGGATTTTAATACCCCGCTGTCAAAAATGGATACATTTTCCAAACAAAACATCAACAAGGATATTGTGGAGCTGAATGATGCACTGAATCAAATAGACTTAACTGACATATATAGAACCTTACATCCCAAAGAAGCAAAATACACATTCTTTTCAAATGCACTTGGAACTTTTTCAAAGATAGACCACATGATAGGACACAAAACAAGCCTCAACAAATTCAGGAAAATTGAAATAATACTAAGCTTTTTCTCAGACCACAAGGGCTTGAAGCTGGAAATCAACCTCAAAGAGAAGCTTCAAAAACTTGCAAACTCATGGAGACTGAACAATAGACTATTAAACAATGAATGGGTCAATAATGAGATCAGAGAAGAAATTAGAAAATTTCTGGAAAGAAATGAAAATTAACATACAACAGTCCAAATCCTATTGGACACAGCGAAGGCAGTCTTGAGAGGGAAGTTCATAGCAATACAGGCCTACCTGAAAAAGGTAGAAACATTTCAAATAAAAGACCTCACACTACAACTTGAAGAACTGGAGAAACAACAACAAATAAATCCCAGAGCAAGCAGAAGGAAGGAAATAATCAAAAAGAGCAGAACTGAATAGCATAGAGATGAAAAGAACAATTCAAAGGATCAACCAATCCAGAAGCTGGTTCTTTGAAAAGATAAATAAAATTGACAAGCCTTTAAGTGGACTCATCAAGAAAAAAAGGGAGAGGACCCAAATTAATAATATCAGAAATGAAAGAGAAGAAATAACAACTGATACCACAGAAATACAAAGGATTGTAAGAAACTACTATGAACAATTATATGCCAAGAAATTTGAAAACCTGGATGAAATGGATAAATTTCTAGAAAAGTATAATCTTCCAACGCTGAAGGAGGAAGAAACAGAAAGCTTGAACAGACTGATAACAGCTGGGGAATTTGAAGCAGTAATCAAGAAACTCCCAGCACACAAAAAGCCTGGGCCGGACAGTTTCACAGGAGAATTTTACAAAACATTTAAGGAAAAGCTAACTCCTGTCTTTCTCAGACTATTCCAAAAAATCGAAGAGGAGGGAAGACTCTTAGACTATATTTATGAGGCCAGCATCACCCTAATCCCAAAACCAGATAAAGACCCTACAAAGAAAGAAAACTACAGGCTAATTTCACTGATGAACATAGATGCTAAAATCGTCAACAAAATATTGGCAAACTGCATCCAGCAATACCTTAAAAAGATTATCCATCACGATCA